GTCCTCTGGGAGGAAGTTGCTTCAACCAATAAAAACTAGGTTGGCAACTACCTCCCAGAGGACTTTTTATGCTACAACCCCTAGATTGTGGAGTGCCCTGCCAGAGGAGATCCATCAGATAACCAATTTAGATGGCTTTAAAAAGGCCATTAAGATGAATCTCTTCCGGCAGGCGCTCCTAGAATAATATTATTTTCAACTGGCTCCTTGTCCTTAGACAGTTCTCTCTTCTTCTTCTATTTACCCAGAGTGCTGCATGTCCTAAATTGGATCAGATGTTTTAACTTATTGTTTTAAGCTGTTTTTAATGTTGTTTTAATTTAATTTATTTTAAGGGGGGGTTATATGTTTGTTGTATTGTTTGAGTTTATGATTCATTTTAAATGTAAGCCGCCTTGATAGCCTTGGCTAAAGGCAGGTTATAAATAAATTATTATTATTATTATTAAACACTATTTTCCTGTTTTGTCTGGATTCAGTTTCAGTTTGTTTTTCCTTATCCAGCCTATTACCTCCTCCAGGCATTCATTTAGAAAGACACACTATCCTTAGTTGATGCTATTTTACCATTGAACCTTCTACATAAATCTACTAAACTAATGGCCATTTTGGCTGGGGAATAATGGAGAGCTGCAGAGCACCAGCTTGGGAAAGGCTATATTGTGATATTTATATGTGTTTCTTTATATTCTGTTTCTCTTTCTTTATGTTAACACAAAAGAATAAAATGACACAACAGAAAACAGAACTAGTCAAACAATCAATCATTCTAGAACTTAATTATGATTTCTTTTTTTCAAATATTTACAGAAATCACCATCTCTTTCTTTGAATGTGTTTTTGTTTATGTTTATTAGCCAAATAGTCAGTGAAATTAATTTTCACAACTTTTTGTATGGGAGTGTTTACTTGAGACCATTTGCTCCTTGTTATTAATGTTTTGCCAAATGGTATTGTTTCTACTCCTTTAGAAGGTGATTGACATATTTTAAACAGAAGATTAATGAAGAATAAAGACTTCTTGAATCTTTGTTTAGTGAAATAGTTTTGATAATATTTATAAACCTTAAGGACTAGACATTTCTTAAACAGCCAGCAGTTTTCCAAATACTTACCAAGGCCACTTGAAATGTGCCGCTTGTAAACTATTACACATAATTAGATTAGTGTAATAAATTATGGTGAATGAATTTCAGTCAAAGTATAAAGATGCCACCTATTTAAAGAAGGAATCAGATGCCAGATTTGGTAGTATTTGTGGTTCATGTAAGTTTCATTATGGTACTGAAGGTGTCACCATTGCAATGAGACTTTAAACATGAGAAAATTGACATCATTATGGCATGTCTTTGCAGACTTCTCACAGTTTAATAAATTCAGGCATGGATCAAAGTTCTCTATTGATTCATTGATTCATTCACTTTATATACCATCTTTTCCTCTGAGATGGAACTCGAATTCAAAGAAGAACAATATAGATAAAAAACATACAAAAGATTGCAGTGAATATGTTGTTAAAATTCAATAGCATTAAATTGGTTTAAAATATATATTAAAAAGAAAATATAACAAAATTAAAACACAGTATAGCACCTTTCCAAAAGACTCCCTTTTAAAAAACCAGTAAATTCCCCAAGGCCTGTCAGAATTAGGGATGGGAAGAATACTCAAAAAATATTCAGAAAATGGTTGGGAATGTGTTTCTAATTCTAGGGTGTCAAGAAACTCTGCTGAGAAGAATCCTGGACAGATAAAAAAAATTGCAGCATGATTTACTCTATGCAAAAATTGCACATGGTTGTTTTGCACAGAAAACAGTGTGTTCTGCACAGAAAATCATACTTCTATGTAGAAAATGGTGCTTTCTTCATAAAAACACCACATGCAAATTTTGAGTAGAAGTCTGAAATTGTGAATAGTCTTCCAAAACTGCAGTTTACAAAGAGTTTCTTGATACAAAAAGAAAATTGCTAAAATTACTCACTATTTCCATTGAGAAGAAAATTAACTAAGAATTACATCTCTAGTCAGAACAGGAAGGGTTTTGCTTGCTAACAGAAGGACAGTAAAGAAGGGACCTTTCTGGCTTCCATGGGAAAGGAACATATGCATCAGAAGTGAAGAAAAAAGACAAAAGAAGCTTCATATTTGTATTAAATCTTAAAACGCAGAGAGGAAAATTGTTGTTGTGTGCCTTCAAATCATTTTTGATTTATAGCAACCCTAAGGTGACCCTATCATGGGATTTTCTTGGCAGGATTTGTTCAGAGAGGATTTGCCTTTGCCTTTTCTCAGGCTGAGAAAAAGTGCCTAAGATCACTTTGTAATTGTAAAGGCCAAGCATGGATTTGAAGCCTGGCATCCAGAGTTGTAGTCCAATGCTCAAACCACTACACCACACTGGCTCTCATAGAGGTAGATTATTGTAAATTAAATAGAAACATTGTCATAGAATCATAGAATCATAGAGTTGGAAGAGACCACAAGG